ATACATAATGTTGAAAAATGCAATTCCTTTTTAAGTGAAAATCATTGGCATATTATATTTATTATGTTTATTTAAAAAAATGTGTTTAAAAGTATTACTGTTTTGTTTTAATTTGAATAAATAAATACTTCTTTAAAAAACTTGTAAAAACTAGCAAACATTTAAATTAATATAACGGCAAAATATAAACTCTGAAAATTGTACGTCATTTTTACGTATGATTATTCTTAACGTTAGTAGAATTATGATTATACGTCCAGGGTTAATATTACTTTTTAACATATTTCCATATTGAACATTAAGTATGCAAAAATAATGAGTTTATCAGACCTGCTAAGATATACGGTTTATCTTTCATAAATATAACTACAATTTTGTTATAAATTAAAAACAATTAAAAACAGAAAACGTAACATTTTTTTTAAAAACTTACATAAAAATTGACATCAATTTCCAAATAAAAAATTTTTAATTTTTTAAATTATTTATATCCACAATTAATTATACTTCGTATAAGCATAAACCATATATATATATATATATAATTTAATTTATGCTTCGTATTAGTAGCATGTGTCTCAATTGTATGATACACAAAATAAAATCATTTTTCTCTCTTTTTATTTTTTAATCATATCGGATCTGCTGAATTAAGTTTACAACCTGTTTTTTTCCTATATAATTGGGTCTCTGCCAGGAATGGATTTAATTTCAACTATGAAAACATTAATGGATTAATAAAACATATGATACGAGTTTTATGTTTTTAGCAAACATTCTATGGATGAATATATACACATGAAGGGAATTCAAATATGGATATCCATGGCAATTTTAATAAAAATATGTATGAATGAATAGGTACACATTTTTGATAGAAAAGGAAGGAAATTTAAATAAGGATGTCTCAGGCACACATTTTTATCAAAAAGAGTTATTTTTACTTAGCTTACTGATAAGAAACTGGTATCTCCTGAAATAAATATTTTAATTGACCCTTTAGATAGATACCTGATAAAAACCTGATAGATTTGACCTTTGCAGTCCCGAATTACTTTCACACTAATGAAAAATAAGATGAGACTCTTTAATGTCACATAATGTTATTAATTTATATAATGATTAAATTTAAAAACCACACAAATTAGCGGTTTTGTCACTGTATTAGGTTTGTGCCTTAAGTTCTTTGATTATCTCCAATTTATAATTATAGCAGTGAATATTTGAATATTTGAATTTCGTAAACATTTGATGCATAAAGATATCAAAATTATCTCGATTCAATGGAAATATTAATTAACGAATAAGTAACAAGTTTAGAAATAACAAAAAAAATTCTTTAAAACTCAATTTGTGGTCAAGAAATATCAAATTTAAGACCTCAATGACAAGACCAATTGTAATAAATAAAATCAAATCAAAATGTCATAACTTGAACGAAAGTCAATAGAATCAGAGTTAAACATAACGGAGCCGCAAATAAAAACTTCACCATATGAGTATGAATGAACGCATTCCATATTCCTAACCACTTAAGCAAATACAGAACGTTCTGTTCTCCAATGTTAAGATCGCCGAAGATACAAAATCGCTTCAGAAAAGATTAACGTCATGAATATAAACTTATCAGCATGAAAACATGAAAGATCATAAAATAACATAAATAACACAAAACCGAATAAAAGCGCAACATGTCAAGAGATAAAAACACGCATATACGTATATATAGACCCATAAAAATATATACAGATACGTATACATTGTAGAAATATGAACACATTGATGTCAAAGTGACAGTGACGTAAAACTCTTGCACTGTGGCTTAGAGAGGAACAGTATAGTGGAGTGACCCCAGCTCTTTAGAAAACTAATTTCTAACAAAAAAATAGTAAAGAAACGAAGAAAATAAGAAAAGCAACTGTAGCATTTGTAAGGGGTCTCGCTTGGCATGACATGGCACATCGCAGAACTACAGTTTTCTAATAAATCAGTACGGAACTGAAAGTTCGAATTCTAAGCAGAGTAATAAAAAAGAAAATCCAAAAAAAAAAAATAAGAAATAGTAATAATAATAAATAATGAATGAAGAAAATAGAATGAAAAACAATTATGTCTGAGGCTTACATTATGCGCACGCAGACGCGGTTGCGTGTTTAAAAGTCATTTGGTGAGATCAGAGCAACGAACAATTAGACAGATAGACAACCAAATGGACTAACATAAAGGTAAACAACAACAGAACAACAATAACAACAACAAAAAGCACATAAGAACCTAATCAATTTTTCATTTCATTATTACTCATTCATTTGCTTTTTTCCGGTAATGGGTTAATGCCATAACTACCACAATAGCAACAATGTTTGACGTCTTCACGTAGTTCTGGTGTGGTAATTCATCTCAAGGGGCTCAGTATAATACTGTGATATGTGTTCACATACGATGTAATGAAGTTATTGCGCCTGTTTTATGTTTTTTTTGTATATCTCTGACAATGTTTTTACTTCATAGTTGCATTTAGTTTTTATCTTTTACGGCTGCAGTAGCAACAATGTTTCAATGCGAACTTTAACAACAGCTTAATTGATATTTTATTATTTCTGAATTTTTTTTTCATTTTGTAGTATTTTTTTTATCATTTTAATTTATGCATTTCCTTCCTTCCTGATATATTTTATTTTTTTTTTTTTTCAAATTATCTTAAATCTTATTTTTGCGTACAGTACGAAATAGGAAAATCTCTTTAAAGAAGACATGCTGCATTTCAGTTCAGTTGATTCGCATGCAAATCTTGACTTTTGACAATAATGAAGCTTTACGGCACATCTTCTAAGCTCTTATACAATGGACAATAATATTGTAAATATATGCAATATACAGGGTAACTTAAACATATAACAACGATGCATATCACTCTTATTGTAGAAGACATAAACATATTTGGGTGGCTCTGAAACACTTTTTTTCAGGTCAGATTGGTTATACGTTTTATTTTCTTTTCATTAACAGAAAGAAAAAAAAATTTGGAAAAAGTTTATTTTAAGGCGTACAGCGAAGCCATTAGAAGTTAGAAATCTAGTCACAATTTCCACCTAACAACAGCAAACACAGCAATTTTTTAATCGGATCAGAAAAAAACATATTTTTCCCCACACAACTGAGGATCACCATTATACATATATATAGGACATATTTGTCAAAATGACAGCAATTTCTGATAAAAGTAGTACTTGATCAAATTCGATAAATACTGGGAGTAGTCGAGTAGTTGAACATTACTGTGTTCAACAGTTTGATCCGACAAATTACATCAAGTATCTACTTAACCCACATTTTTTTAATAACTAAAATGAAATACAAAAAAATACTTATTTTTATATTACCCATGAAGACAACAAAAAAAGGTTAAAAAATATCTTTTATAAAATTTTCGATTTTTCACTTTACTGGATACTTTTACACCCTGTACATAACTGAACTAAACAATTCTTAATTTTTCATACGTTTATTATTTTCTACACTTACTTAAGCTCCATAAATATTCCGCAAAGGTCTCTTAACCATATCAAATTTTCAGTTACGATTTTCTATTGTTTTTCCAGTCAAGAAAAAATCCATCTAATAATAAGTATAATCTCATTACGCTCTGCGTAAGCCAGGCTTTAGATCGGCAGGTTTTTCTACGGACTGAGCACGCAAATTAGCTACGAAGTAGAGAGGTAAAACTCTAGAAAAAAAACAACAGTTCAAAAAATAAGTTCGCATTCTCTCGCAGTTAGCGAGTGCTTGATGCTGAGCTCGAAATTAGATGGAAGCCGACAGAAACTCCAAACCAAAGCAGACCAAACTCAAAAGCGAAATTTCAGTTTCATTTTGGCGATGAACGCATATGGTCGGTACTGTTGACAAAGGCGAACACTTGAATGAAAACTGAGTTCCAACAGAAAACTAAAGAAAAACCGTTGCAAGAATCGTCGCGCATGCGCAATTTTGTTAATTCTGAGTCTCGCTATAAAGTTAAAAAAAAAAATAATCGAAATTATATGAAAATGAAAATATTTACGCATCGTTGAAGTCTCTATTTTCCATTTTACTGTAAAAATTTTTGTGAAAAACATAAAAAAAAATTTGGTCGAAAACATTAGTCTGCGAAGGCCCTTTAATGCTGGTCACTAATGGATTGGGAAATTTTTAAAATGTGCAAAATGAAAAGAAAAAAATGTTTTTTATAATTTTTTCTTGAAAATTTAATTGAATGGAACGTATTTTATTAAAAAAATTGTTTAAAAAAAACCGCATCAAATGATTTTTACGAAATTATGGGCAAGTGTAGTTATAGTTACACCAGTTCAAATTATAATGAAAATATATTTACGTGCACGACCAACCGGAAACAGCGACATAATAGCATAAATTTTTAACTCTGATCAGTTTCATTTTGCTTTTGTGGATACTTTGATATTGGCTAGGGTCATTTGATATTGGATGAACAAATGAAGCCTTGAAGCAGTGGAAGTGGTTTTAATTTAATTTAACTTTTTTTTACGCTAATATTATTATTTCAACACAAAATGTTGATGAATTCCAAAAATAAGTTAAAGACAAATATATAAAAGTACAATATAAAAAACTTAACAACCTAAAAATTAACTATGCTGTATGAAACGTAAGCATACCTATTAAAAAATAAAAAAATTTATTAAACATTAACCCAAAAAATGTATTAAAATGTGTTTTTTTTTTTACTTAACTAAAGTGCTCTAAATAAATCTTTATCTCCTCATACCTTCATATGTATTTAATAATATAAAATTTAGAAAAGAGAATAATATAGTTTTAAACAATAATTTAAACAACAGTATTTTCAAAACAGTGCATATGAAATATAGGTAATAACAATAAAGATATAAAATAAAAAATAAAAAATAAAAAATGTCTTAACTGTAATTAAAATAATTTTCGTTCATTCCGAAACACAATCAATCGACCAAAGCATTTATAAGAACGACCAAAAACAATAATAAATGAAAATGTATTGCACCAAAGACTGCAGCTGCAGTTTGTGTCGTGAATTACGCGGGTACAAACCAGCTAAGCCACCCAAACGACCAGCACCACGCCCACCGAACTCCTTGTTCGGACGTTTCAATGAAAATTTCATATTGCGCCGACGCAGCATTAATTCTTTCAAGACATTTCAACCGCAATCTCTGAAGTGCAGCGAAATGTGTCAGCAACGTGCAATGAGTGCAACACCAAACATATACGAGCAACCAAATAAAAAAGAAACAACAACGACAACAACAACACCTTCACCTACACTCTTAAGTCCCCCATCAGCACCAATTACACCATCATTAATAAAGAACAAAAACAAAAGTAAAAACAATGCCAAACCAGTAGCACCGCCTAAGCCAAATCACAAAGTGATTATCTATTTTGGTGATTCGATAGCAAATCGCGGTGGTAAGACTGCCAATGCTACAGATCAGCTAACAAACAACAACAATAATAATAATAACAGCAACAAAAATAACAATAATAGCAACAACAATAACAACAACAATGATAATAATAATGACTGCAATACTACCAACAATAACAATAAAAACAACAAAAACAACAAAAACAACAATAAGACTGCAAATGATTTAAATGCTGCGTTAACTGATACCTTGTCTAATGCACCAAGCATCGACAACAGTCAAAACACCACAACGCTTAAGGCATCCGAGTTACCCACAGCAGCGATGAATGATGATGAATTGCCTTCCTTTATTGAGAGCATAGAGAATGGCGTTATTAATATCAAAATCGAAGGCAATTACAATCGGGCAAATGCATTGGTCGAAACAGTAGCGAAACCAACACGTGCCGTCGTTCGAAAACCAAAACCAGACGAAATCGTTTTGGTACCTGAAGATGCCGCTAGCTATTATGGCTCGTGCGATTGGAGTTTTGTGCAGGAGTGGCGCGCACGGTATTTATTTTTAAATATATTCTAATATTTTTTTCCGCAATGAAAAAGTATATGTAAAGTTTTCTCAAAAACATCCTCGTCACTTATTGACAGATTTATATATATATATATTTAATCCTTTAATTCCTAAGAGGAGAAGCATAGGGCCGCATTCGCAGATTTATTCCATCCTTTTATTTTATTTCCACATTATGCGTAAAAGGAAGATATTCTACGAAAGCGGTTAGTTTATTTTAAAGTTGTTGGCAATATATTTCTTATATGATAAATTCGTTGCTAAATAAAGAATGCTAAAGATGCTAAATATCTTAGATAAGTAAGAAATCACATAAAAAAAAATTAGTGAAGTAAGAATCTATAAAAAATTATATTAAAATATTATTATGCTGCTCAAGGTGGGAAAAAACAGAGCTCTATAATACTTATAAGCGATGTCCTTAGTAAAATGACTCGAATAGAACTACTCATGCAATTGTGTCAATCATTTAACTGTTCCAATCATTTTAACTGCAAAAACCACAATAATTTGATAAACACTGCATTGAAAACCGGTGCTGCGGCCAAAAGTGTAGTCACTGCATTACTCACAGGCTGAAAAGTTGAATGTCAGATTAAAGCAATAAAGCCGTACAGTTTTCGATTGAAAAATCTGGAGTAAGTCTTCAATCGAGAGTCACTTTTAGTGTGATTTTCATTGTCAATTGATAAATCTCTCGCAAAATTTATAACACTCAAGATTAATTTATAATACTCTAAATATTTCACCAGAATAGCAACATTACCCTAAAACTAACAGTTGTTTTATATGACTTTGTCAAGTCAAATGTACCGCAGATCTTATATCAATCATTGAATAATCACGAAGATTATCAAGAATACTCAAATTTGTCAGTAAGATGGGCGGGACTCTGCAGAATCCCCCCAGCTATCAAGGGGTAAAAGTGCCCAGATGCACTAAATCGGAAAAGGCTTAACATAATAATATATGAAAAATATACATTTCTACTAAAATTACTACAAAAATGTTAGTTTACTCTAAAAATATTCGATTAGATAACAAAATTTAACAAATCAAGAGTAAGTATAGATTGAAACCAAATTTACCAATCGAAAACACAATCAGTTACAACTTTTAGCTTCAGTCCATTATGTATAAATCTTATACCAAATGTGATTTTAACTTACTAATCGCAATACTATACATAAATAAAGAAAACTATGTCCCCTGAAATATTGCTAATGTCTCAATTCCGTATTTCCTACCTAACCCATTCATGCTCTTCAATTTATGTAAATTTATGTAAATGTAATAAAATTTTCAGCAAGCCATCAGTTCTTTTCGAACAGCCAGTTAAATTAATCATTACGATTACAAGAGTTATTATTATTGAGTAAGGGATCGTGTACTGCGACCTAAAAGATCTATTGTGCCAATTACAAGAGTTATATTTTGATCAAATATTGAACATTTCTTCAGGTCTAACCATTATTGTTTTTAGAAATAATGGCTTCTTACAGATTCCACACTTTAATACTTGCCATAATCAACCTCTAGAATTTCTAAAAGATATCCACCAATTTTATACAGTCCACTGATTAGAAATTGGGCCAATAAAAATCGTTAGTATTTAGCTACTTGTTTAATTATATTTTTAAATTTGATATTAAATCTTGTATTTTTTCAAAATATCTAAATAAGAAACTGTTAAAAATTGCCCAAGAGCGCAGAAAAGAGCAATCTTTGGATCAAGACCGCATTAGCTTACAATATATGTAATATATGTTTACCACAGAATAGAAGTTATAAAAAGAGCACTTCAAAAGTGCAGGAAAGTGTCTTAGATCAACACAGCATTAACTTACAATATACTAGATGTATATAACAGAATAGGAAGTTATAAAAAACTACCTTACGAATGCATACATCTTCTTCTTTTGGAAGTTACTCGATTTATAATGCCATTCGTTATGGTACTTGTTCCAGATATCTGGCTAAAGAGATGTTAAAAATTGCGTTCTTTCAAAGTCTTAGTCCTTCAGGAGCATAAGAAAAATCAGTATCAATTTTCATTACCATTCCCTCAGACAGTATTAACTTATGGAATAGTGCTTACCATAAAATATCTATGGATCTATAGAAAAAATAATGAAATGAAAACTTTTCTACTTAAAAATATATGATTGCTGATTTAACATATATCAATATAAAATTTTTAGAATGATAACCCAAATTAATTTAATCTGCATTTTATTATAAGTCAATGGAGGATAGGTTTATGGATTATATGTATGACTGTAAGTTCAGGGTAGTACTTTTACCAACTTTTTTTAAAATTTTGACTTTGATAAATTGTTGAAAATTTGTAGTTTTATATTGGAAACCTAAAACTAAGCAATGGTAATACTCATTATTTCTATATCTTTTAATAACTGTTTGAATTCAAGATATATATCATTTAAATGGGTAGTTTAATTTAATACCTAACTCTAAATAGTCTTATATTTTTTATATCTTAACTATGACAGTTCTTGCTTGACTTTTGTATTTGAAGTAGAAAATGTGTTCTTGTAGAAAATTGTTGTAAAACTCATCAAAATGTTCATTAACTATCGTCCCACAATATCTTTATAGATAAAATAATTGAAAATTAATATCTTATATATTTTAGGTATTCTTTTAAATGTTTTTAAGATTAAAAAAATTAAATTTGTATAATCTTACACTATCAAGAGTTGTATGATAATTAATACTGTTGGTTTTGAAATGAATACCGTCCATTTACCATTTATCTATAATTTAATAATAAATTCTTTCGTTTTAGAAAATCCTAAAATAAATACTTAAGTTAATATAATTTATAGATTTAATATTCAAAATCTCTACCATTTTTAAAATATTGTAATTATTTCAATGCTGAAATTATGAAGTTTTGATTTGAATTGATAAAAGTAATTGGCTCTATTATATCACAGAGTAATACTTTGTTAGTTGTTTGTTTATTTATAGTGAGAATGGTTTACAAAACCCGTACTTATAATATTTGTTAAAGTAAATAACTACAAATAAAATTAAATCATTGTATTTATAATGTCACAACTACCTTCATTTTCATACTAAGCAATTATGTTTAAGCGAAATTTTCACTTTCTATAATATTAAACGTAGAATATTCACAGATTAATGGATCAACAGAGATTTTTATTAAAATGAAAAATATAAAATTATTATATTTACAATATCTTTATTGTTATTGCAAAATGATAGTAGTGCATAAAATAGGTCAGTAATATCATATGACACTTGCATTGACGCTTTATTGAATTATTACAATGTAATAAAATAATATATTTATTATAGTTTTTATACCATCATGATAAAAAAATATATTTAGTTTGTCAAGATATGTCAAAAAGACATTGAAATAATAATATATATTATTATTTGATTGTTATAAATTCAGTTTTTAAGTATAAACAGTCCGTTTGCGCAATCGATTGTTATACAATAATACCTCCCTTGAAGAAGAACCCAAATAAAATGAAGTCGTGGTTGACATTTATATAAAAATAAATTAAAATTATAAATCAAACACAGTAATGAACTTAAACAATTTTTGACATCATATCGATTATACAATAAAAAACTAACTTAAATAAATTTAGTCTGTATCGATAAAGTCCTAAGTCCTATCAATTGTACAAAATATTCTATTTCACACACTCTTTTTTTTTGGTGTACATAATTATGTATAATTATCAATAAACAAAGTTGAGCTGATCAGGAGCAGATATAGTCAATAGTTGTACTATAGTAAATTCAATATACATTGACAGAAAAAATTTTGAGCACAGGAATGTGTTTCAACATAGGCTTTTTAGGCCTCATATAATATCGTTTTTATTTTATCATTAATTTTTAAAACAAAAATACATTCTTTTTTTAAAAAGAAGTTTCTACATATATATTAATATTGGATATATTAAATTGGTAATGTCTATTTTATGTAATATAAATTATTGTATTTAATAGAGACGTTTCGAACATTTCTGAATTGCAACAAAAAATAGTCATCAGCTGTTTAGAGTATTGCTAAAAATCCAACATCAGAGATCTTGGAATTATTTCTTATACGAATATTTGATTATTTGTAAATACATTTTTGAAGACTGCAAGTACTAAGATTTTCACTCGTACCCTGCCAAATTTAAAGCTCAGAGTTAGTGTTCATTAGGCAATTAGCCTGAGTTATATTCAAGCCTAATGAACACTGACTCTGAGCTTGGGAAACTTAACAAATTAATTTAACTTTTTTAATAAAACAAATATATCCCAATGTGTTTTATATAGAATTTAACTGATTTAAGCTCAATTTTTTAAATATTTTGTTTTATTTATAAGTATGTGACTTTCATTATAGATTTTATAACAGATTTAAAGGAGAATATTTTACAGTTTTGTTCTTAGCATTACTGAGTATGTCATTTGTTTTTAAATAATCGAAGCGTTGAAATTATGTAAATTTGCCATGACATAATTTTGACTTTGATTGCCGATTTGTTTACAAGAAAAAAACAGTTATGAAATATATTTAAATGAAGTTAAGTAAAAACTACATTTGGTGTATTTATTATGTATTAAGAAAACGGTAGTTGAAATACATTTTAATAAAACCAATCATAATATTAACTGTTTAAAACTCTTAAGAGTAGCGGCCAATAAATAATTTTCTGCCTCCTTTGTCTAAAAACTCAAAGAATATTAAAATTGGGTCATACTGCAAATATTTTTGTTTTCTAAATAAATAGTTTTGTTTTCTGTTTTTAATAAGAAAAAAAATTTAAATAAAAACAATAAAATAACAAATAATGAAATAAAAGAAAACAAAGCAAAACAGAATAGGAAGATATGAATATGCTATCAAAGCTCAAATACTTTTTAGAGACCATAAAAATATTAATAACGTAATAATTTATATTAAAAGAAAAAAATAATAATTTTATTAACTATTATATTATATTGAAACACAATTTCTAGACATTTCAACTAAATAAAATTGTTTGTATAAAAATCGAATTAATTCTATAAAAACAAAATGCAAAAAAATGTTCTCACACACACACAAATTAAATAATTATTTTTCTTTTATAGACCCACAAGCAATATGCCCGTCTACAGCTCGCAGCAGTCTACAGCACTTTTAACAGCAGCAGCAGCTTCAGGGTTACCCACAACTCCCCATAGCAATGCCAATTTATCTGCCACAACAGCAACAGGAACAATGATTAATGCACTTGTTTCCTCTGGACGCATTCAAAGTCCAGCAGTGGCTACACCAGCACCTCGTATATCAAAAGAAGTAGCACAACGTCCAGGTGTAAACAACTCTACGTCTCATTCAAAACCCATTGTACTTAATTCACCTAACAACAGCACACATTTCGATAACTTTCAACAATCGCAAAAATCAATTAATCTTAATTCAACTATTCCAACGAGCCATAACAGCATTTCAACACATAATAGCAAATCTGTACCACATAGATCCGTAGCAGGACCAGCACGTTTAACTGTACAAAGCACACCAGTGAAATCACAGCCACCTATGCTAAGTTCAAGCCTGGCACAACAAAATATTGGAGCTCAACTAAAAACTACGGAGAAAATTGGAACCAATCTAAACAGTTCCAACATAGGTATACCTACAGATGCAAGTTTTCAACAAAGTCCAAGTTCACAGAAACCAAATTTGGGGACACGCACGCACCATCATGATTTTCGCGCGCTTCAACGTGTACAAGAGTGTCATAGTTCATCGGATGAAAATCGCTCATCTGGTCATGCCAGTATGTCAGACACCGGCGGACATGGCAGCTCATCGCCTGGTGGTGTAGCGTTAGGACCATTACCTGAAGATCGTTTAGCCGCTGGTGTTACTAACCGAAGTACACGTTCACGCGCAAGCACAAATCATTCACGTGCACGACATCGCGCTACACCTGCCAAAGCACCTTGGGGTGGGAGTGGCCTCGAAGATATAAAACTTGCTATACAACAGTTGACAATGCGTTCACAAACCAGCACCAGTACTTACAGCAGCTTAAGCGCCGGTTCAGAAAGTTCAGAGCCCGCCAGGCGTTTAGGACGTTACTCCTCCTTAGAGACCGTCAATACAAATGTAACCAATGCCGATGAATTTGTCTGGGTAGACTCACATAATCGACTTGTAGAATTACAACATCCGCCTTGGAGTCAACATTGCATCTTACGTGTCATACGTAATGGTCGCTTTAAAGAACAAGCTGAACGCGTATCTGTTGAAACAGTGCCACGATTAGGTTACCTGCTGCAACGTGCTTTAGTACGTATAGCAAGGGAAGTGCAGCGACTGTCAACTAATTTAGGATTGTGTTCAAAACAGGAAGTTGCGGGCGCTTTTAAAATTGTACTTTGTCCAGCATTGGCAGATTCCTGCATTAAGGCTTGTTTACGCGCTGCAGCTATGTTCGCTGTGCCTGGCGATAGCGCTTTAAAGCAAAGCAAGTCAGCACGTGCAGGTTTACAACTGCCGGTGGGCCGGTTTCATCGGTGGATGGTAGATGCGCGTTTAGCTAAATTTGTACATGAGTATGCGGCAGTTTATCTTTGTGCTGGCTTAGAAAATTTACTAGAAGAAGTATTGATGCAATGTTTTCCAATTGATGGCACAAATCAATTAACAGTAACTGCACTGGAACATGCGATTGCCACTTCTGGAGATCTTTGGGGTTTGTTGCAACCGTTCGCTCATTTAAATGCCGGTCGCATTGCTTCTGGTGCACTTACAATGCCACGTTGGGCCAGTCAGTCTTCACTTGGCTCTGGCACTCATGCTAGTTCATCGAGTGCAAGTAATGCTAGCCTGGAGCCCTGCTTGTTGACTACTTGTGTTGGTAGTATTACCGAATTGAAAGACTTGGCGCTACGTGCACAACAGAAATTTCAGCACACCGCATTATCAAATGCAGCACTTTCAGTGCTTTTCTATTTTATGCGATGTTCGCAACTGGAACAGAGTGATGTTGGCGGCCAATCAAGCGGCAACTCTAATAGCAGCAATCAAAACGTACAAGAACTTTGTTACGAACGAGCGTATGTTGTATTACCACCTTTGGTTGAGTGGTTACGTGTCGCGTCCGCTCATGCCGAGTATCGTTGCGCGGCCATGATTAACAAAGATGATGTCATGCAAGCAGCACGTCTGCTACTTCCCGGTGTAGATTGCCCCATGCGACCAATTGGCCATGACGAAGAGTTGCCAACTAAGAAAACACATTTTACACATACAAACACTACGGCAACACTGGCAACGAGTCTTAGTGAAGACACAGCGGAACTGGGAAAACGTGCTACTATTACTTTGGCATTCAAGTTGATGTTAACTGGACGTGCAGAACTATTAGCACAAGCATCAAATTTATTGCCGCCTTCTACGCGTTATGATACACTCAATCACACAGGCATGACTGCTCTGATGATTGCTAGTCTGCGCAATGATGAAATCGCTATACAGGCACTTTTAGATGCAGGATGCGATCCGAATGTGGAAGTACCTGCAATTAATCAAACAAGTTGTCCAGCTGTACATCCCGATACGCAACACTGGACTGCAGTTACTTTTGCTGCATCGCGCGCAAATTATTTAGCTTTACGTATGCTGCTAGAACGTGGTGGTAAAGTGGAAGGAGGGGCTCGTTTAAGTGAAGACAAAAGTACATTAACACCATTACAAGTAGCTTGTGGTTCTGGTAATGTTGAACTGGTATCGCTATTGCTAGCACATGGTGCCAATGCATTTCTTTCAACGCAACAAAAGGACTCGATGTGCTTTGCCGGCTCCGCACAACGTGGGTCATTCAGTGCCATATCAGTTGCAGCAGCACATGGTCAACGTGCTTGTCTTAGAAAGTTGCTCTCCACACCAATGTCGCCAGGCTCGCGTGATGTGCTCTCATTAGAAGAAATGCTGGCTGAAGGTGAACCCGTAAATAATACTAGAACAGGCGCTGCAAATGAACGGCAAACAGCAAATGATGTACCACTGACGCTTAATAAGACTCAGATAAAGAGTTTGCAGGAGGCCATGTATCACAGTGCCGAAAACAATCACTTAGGTAGGTTCTTAAATTTAATTTTATTGGAGTTATTGTAAGATTTCACATTTTTTTCAACAGATATTACAATAGAATTGCGCACCTTAGGAGTTCCATGGACATTGCATTGTTGGATGCATGCATTAGCTGCAGCACATGAATTACGGTTGGATGCAGTTATAGATCAGCTGTTGCAAGATTTTCTTCAAGTCTGTCCTGATGATTACAGTGCACAATTTGTCAGCGAATGCTTACCGTTACTTTTCAATATTTTCCGATATAGTAAAAATGAGGGTACCACTTTATTGTTGGCCGATATATTTGCAACCTGTTTCGGTTGGGAATCAATCAAGACTATTAAGGAACCAGCTCTACAAACTGTTAATAGCTCTCGCATTGATCCTAAATTTGTTAATAACCCAGAACTTAGTGATGTTACTTTTAGGTAAGTGGCTTAAGAACGCAATATTTTATTTTTATTAAATTTAGAGAGTATAAAATAGATCTGAGGTAGAACATGAGCCCACTACCTTAACAAAAACAGGACTTTAGATACTTTTTAATATTATTTTTGTAGCTTTAAAGATCGTTTAATGAATTTATTTTTATTAAAAATAATAAAATTATTACTATCAACTTAATTTTTATTAACTTAAGTTTTGTTACAAAAATTTTGTAATTAACTTCTTAATTCTAATTTTTCAGAGTTGAGAGTAAAATATTTTATGGTCACAAGATTGTGTTAGTTACCGCTTCACCACGTTTTCAAAATATGCTCAGCTCGAAACTGAGCGATGGGAATACACCAACAGTGCAAATCAATGATATCCGGTATCACATATTCCAGTTGGTAATGCAGTATCTATACAGTGGTGGCTGTAGTACTTTAGATGTGTCACACAGCGATGTGCTAGAACTTATGGCAGCAGCAAGTTTCTTCCAATTGGAAGGTTTACTACGTTACACCGAGGCCAGATGCTCGGAAATGATCGATATTGACAATGTAGTGGCCATGTATATACACGCTAAGGTAAGTCAAATATATATTCAAAGTGAATATATTCAATAAATTTAATTTTTTTTTACAATTTTAGGTTTACAATGCGCATAAACTACTAGAGTACTGTCAAGGCTTTCTATTACAGAATATGGTTGCTCTACTTACATATGATGATTCTGTAAAGAGACTTTTATTCGCTAAGAAAATACCAAATCATGATGTACTATCTGGTTTGCTTCAAGCTTTGCAGCAACGCATTAAGCAACGCAAGCCCAGCGGTATGAGCAACTTCCGGCAACAACTGAGCTCTCCCGTGCCAATGAACACAAGCCTAATGAATGGCCTGGGCCAAAGCAACGCAAGTGCAAGCACTAATCTTGGTGGCAGCTTAGGAGCCATTAAAAATAAATAAAGCTACCAAAATGAATCTACCGATATGTGTATTTGTACTATATATATAGATATATAATATATATAGATATTTAAATATATATCGGAATTTTGTAATTTATTGTTTAAAAGTGAAATTGTATTTTTATAAATATTTGCTGAGTATATTATAGACTTCGAATAAGCTGGTTGTTTAATGCTTAGTTGTAGTAGTAAGTAAATGTAATACCAGACCTGCAACGTTCTTCCACGAATGAAATTCATTAAAAATAATTATTAATATTTATTTTTAATCAATTTGTTTGAACATGTTTTATTCATAAACTATTTATATATATAAGTGTTTACTATATATAATTATTATATAGATATAATACTTTTTGTTCATTATACAGGCATCTTTTAGTTTGTAGTTTGCACAGTTCTTAAAATATTTATAGTAATTTTTATATATAGTGTTTTGCTTAGTGAATATTAGTCAAAATTTTTCATTGTATTTAAATATTTTGTAAAGTAAATAAAGTAATATCGTCTATAAAAAATATGTATTGTCTTTATTTATATAAACACATTTTTTACGTAGCTTACATAGAAGTTAGTCAGCAATTAATAACTTCTAATTAGAAGAAATTATAATTATTCAAACACCTATATTAGTCGAAATTTGTTCATAATTGTTTTTTTATTTATTAAAACATAGCTTTTTTCTATAGAAAGCAACTCGATATTATAGTACCTATAAACGCTGTACATACATTGTGACCGAAAAGTTTCCGGAAATTTTAAATAAAACGCAAAATTCTTAATCTTCATCAATATTTATTTTATCTCCTTCAAAATATGCTCCATTAGAAGCGATACACAAATGCCAACGTTTCTTCCAATCATCAAAACATTTTTTATAGGCGCTTTCCGGTATGGCTTTGAGTTCCCTCTGCGAATTCTGTTTTTCGTCTTCTATGGATTCAAAACGCGTTCCTCTGAGTGGTAATTTGAGTTTGGGAAACAGGAAAAAGTCACACGGTGCAAGATCAGGTGAATACGGTGGCTGTTTGATGGTATTTATTGAATGTTTGGCCTTAAAATCGTTGATAATGTTGGCTCGGTGCGAGGGAGCATTATCGTCATGAAAAATCCATGAATTATCCTTCCACAATTGAGGCCGTTTACGGCGGATAGCTCTCACGACCGATGCCTAGCTCTCGTGCTATCTCTCTAACACTCACATGAGGATTTTGGAACACGATTTCCTTTGCCTTTTCAATGTTTTCGTCGGTGGTAGAGGCCGAAGGTCGTCCAGAACGCGGCATGTCTTCGACGGTCGTACGACCGTCCTGAAAGGCTTTGTACCACTCATAAACTTGAGTTTTCGATAAAACTGATTACCCATAAGCCTTTTGTAGCATTCGCAACGATTCTGCACACGAAATTTCGTTCGAAACACAAAATTTGATGCAAACTCTTTGTTCAATATTTTTTTCCATTGTTTTTTCGCAACGCACTACTGAGGGGAACTGGTTTCAACAGCTGAACGAACTGTCTGAAAGATCGCGCTCATTTTTGGCATAGTAATTAAGGACAGTGCTGCCAAACTACATAAACTTAAAATATCGAAAAATATACAGCGCGCGAATTTTAAATGAGAACTTCCGAAAACCTTTCGGTCACAATGTAAGTGTATACAATAAATTGTTTAGTTAATCATTTCATTATTGAGACATTTATAAAAAATTATAATAGTTGTCTCAAGGATATACAATAAATTTAATTCGTTTCTAAAATGCATCAGTTACCTTATAATTAAATAAAAATAGGTAAGTCTGAAAAAATAAACCGACTCGTTTTTGAAAAATATTATTGTACATATGCATTATGCTTCGATCCATAAATGCATATCTTATTTTTATCATTAGAAAAAAATTTCCATTCAATACGACTATTCATTACGCATTTGAAACTCTCATTTTCATGCAACAAACGAAATCCACCGTGAAAAAAATTTCTACTCTTTAGAAATAATCTAATAACCCATTTTCTGACATTTTCAAAATTACTGAAGAGTTCCTCATTCACCATGGTTCTCATTACCATCAACAAATATTGATCTCTTATAGTAACTGAACCTTCCTTGTATACAAATTTTACAATTATTGGTCTGGTTTTGATGTTGACGATTTATTCTACTGTGTTTATTATCTCATCTCGGCTATTTTTTCACCAAAGCTTTCTTCAAAAGTCAAGGAAACCTTATTGACTTCTATTCGGAATTACCGAATACAATCAATGTTTTATCTGCCTCAACTATTTCATGGAAATGTCTTTTCTTTGTCTGTTCTTAGAACACTAAGTACCGATCATTTTACCACATTTAAGATCAGTGTCTTTCTATTAATGTGACACAAATTTTCCATATTGTGTATCTTTTCCATTATATATGCATCTTTAAAAATTGTTCGCTGGTTGTTTGGTTAGTTTAAGTGGTAATTCTCCATAAGTCAAATTAAAACTTTTGCGGTGCGTTGATCGGAAAAGTGATTATCCGATTTTTTAAGCACACTACGGTTAGATCCAATATCAACGGTTTAGGAACAAACATATAGGAATATGTTTGTTGATATTAACTTCCGCTAATTCTCGAAAATTATTGAAGAGTGTCTTACCTTTACTATGTGAGATAAGCACCATGTAATAAAATACATAGAAACATGACTCGAGTAAACTGGTTACAGTTTGCATTGGTGTACAACTTTTTTGAAACATTTCTTGGATAATTAACGTGCGATATGTAATAATTAAACTTAACTTTAATAACCACTTTTTATCCAGTTAGAATTAGTGTCTTCCCAAGATACGAAATCAAAGAACATAAATGGATAATATTTCAAAAACGACTATATATTTCTCAACAATATAGTTACAACATAAAACTTACTGAAAAACTTGACCGAATATAGATATGTTCATTTAAATCTTAAGCAAGTATAATTTTTCAAAATGTCCACCAATTTGGTTTTACATATGACACCTAATAAATCTTTAGATCACGCAACACTACTCTCATGTGAGTCGACCTGAAGTTTGCATCGTACAGTCGCGACTTGACATCTAATGATTTCTTTCTGTTTCAATACATCATGGATTAACTATGCGGACAATGATTTTCATCGTCAGAAGAAGCTAATGATGCCTTCAAAAACCATGTTTTGAGCTACCAACGTCACTGTGAGAAAAATATTTCAATAATTTCTTCAAGCGTATGCAAAATTTTAACTGGACAAATTTTTGAAAAACAAAACCATTTTTACCTATAAATTTTTTTTTATATAGTTTAAAGACGTTTTTAGTGAGATTGTAAGAAATATTTAAAATTTTGATCGGCCGGAAATAATTACTCTATAATAGAATATCGATTACGATCATATATTACATCATATAACCCACATATCCCAGAGTCGCAATCTCAAAACACAAAAGAAGATTTTTTCCTTGACCAAATTTATTGATACCATAAAAAATATTGATCGCCAACTTAATAATTTCAATATTGTTTGCGATACATTGTGATAAAAATATCGTATGATTTATATTTGAAAGCACAAAAATGATGAAGTGTAATAAATTACCATAATCAAATATAGCATAAAAATTATGATTCTTCTTTAGTTTCATGAATTATTACTACATATATAACGATTTTTAAAAATTAATATCAACTTTTAGAAACAGTGTAATATATATATGTGTTTTAAGAAATTTTTTATATCGGCACTAACTTCACTAATTAATGTAGGCACTAACTTTCTAGATTAATAATAGAAAGTTTAAAATAAAAAAGTATTTGTTCGTTTGCTCTACCTATTTTTGGTGCTGTTTGATAGCATATTTAATTTCATTGCGAAATTATTATTGTATCCTGTTTTGCCCGTTTTAGTTACTATTAACCATTAACTTGTTATTCGTTCATTTGATCATATATGCAATGTGCAAAAACTGTATACGGATATACTAACTTTAGGTCGGATTATACATATTTTATCACGTAATGCTCACAAAGGTTAAGTGTAGATAGTTTACTATTCATTTAGTACGGAAGCAATTCAAAAAACTTTGTATATGTACTTGTTTATTATATTGATGGAAGAGCACTTTATTCTTAAACAAAGTTAAGAAATTTTTAATAAATACGTTGGTAAGTTTATATAGAAGTAGCAACTAATAGTTTGCTTTAACTAAAGGTGATCAATAAAATACATTACAGTAAAGTCTGGTTGACTTCACGGCTTTCATATTATATAAAGTAGGTTTTCGCTCTTTTTTGACTTACTTGTGCAATTGATAATCTATGGTTTGTCTATAGTTAAAATAGAAATATGCAAATGATTTATATAAAAACATTATTTTGATATCGTCATGTAGTTATCCTTCTATGTGCCTTCATAGTAGTTAAACGCAGGCAGCGTCTGTTTACTTAAAAGTTCTTATTTCGTATTCCTTGATTAAAAACGCCATCCCTACGTTTATAAGAGGACCAGAAAATAAATCTCCCACTTAGAAAAATAAAACATACAGGTAATTAAAAGTATAAAATTTTGTGAAATTTTTATTTTAAAACCTTTGTACTACAATTAACTAGAAATCTTGATAATGACCCTTTAAAAACAGTGTGGATACTTATCAATTATTAAATAGGAAATAACAACAGAATTGGTTTTAATTTATGAGTATAGGGTGTATAAGAATCATATAAGGATCCTGAAAATAACAACAATAAGAATACTTTCTTCTAGATATACACATTTATATAAATATATAAATATTATTATTATAATTATTATAATTAATAAGCTTAATTAATATTTTATTATAAATAATAAGGTGAACTGTATAAAAAAACATCAATAAAAAATATTTTATACTATACACCCCACTTGGTATAATTTGTATTATAAATAACTTAGTGAACTGCAAAATACTGTCAACAAATTATTGATTAGATATACTCTCTCTGTCTCTCTGTCTTTAGCACAATTCTATTCATCTCACCATTAGGAAGTCATGACGTATCTAATATGATACATATCTAATATGACCTGTTATATATAGATATGTGACGGTGTTTAATTATAGATCAGTTAAGAAAATATATAATATTTCATTTACGATTTTTGAAGAAGTCACTTCAAATATTAAATATAAATTGGATCAGAGGGGAGACAAAAAAGACATGAAAAAATAAAAAAAAATTCTACATAAAAAAATCTTTTAAATTATTTGAAAGTGTTTTGAACAATTTGAGATATTCTTTTATAATAAAAAAGTTTGTAAGGTTATCCTCTCTTCAGCTGCAGTGAGATCGTATATGGTAGCTTTGAGACACGATCTTACTGCAGCTGAATAAGGGATTATCTTTCAATGCAAATTTTTTTCTTATAAAATAATATCTTCAGCATATTTCTGAGAGCATACTCTGGTTGGCTACGCCTAAGGGTACTATGAACATTATCCAATGTGGATTGAATGACTCTCAATAGTAAACAATTCAAGTGTTGATATTGAGCTGTCAATGAAACTTGCTTTTTTTATTCTGCAAGAAATACGAATATTGTTTCTTCTAATTCTATCCCGCATACACTTAATTTTGCTTAAGAGTGAACAATTAGTGGCTGACAGATGCGACCTATCAAAAATTTATATGATATCACACTACTTTGTTGATTTTTTAATAACTTATTCACTTGCTTTCTCATTAATAATTTTTCTTTTTTTATTTATACTAAAATATGTCAAATTTTTTAATTAAAATATAGTTTTTAAATTAAATTTATTTATTTTATAATTGATATAACTAAAAGTCAGTTAAGCAAAAAACGATTTTTTAATCGTAACAAACAAGTAAAAAATTTAGAAACATTTGTTTATTTTAGAAACATGTTGCTAGGATTGTATAGATTCAGAGCAAAAGCAACCATTTTGAAAGTGCAAATGTTGCTTCATATTATTTTACCAACACATTACAGATGCGTATGTGACCAGCATTACGCACATAAATGGAAGCGAATGAATCCGTTATCGAAAAAAGTCTTGAAAAGATTGAGATGTATCTTAACACCATATGTATGTATGTATATAATAGTAAAAAATATTTAAACTTACCGACAAGTGAATCCGGCTTCGCAAGTTATTTTCAAAATAAATCAATTGCACTTATTTAAATTTATCATAATCACATACTATATACAAATACAGAAAATATTACTCACTATTAGTTCTATATTAACACAAAATTCTTAACTTATTAAATAAAATCAATAAAGAAAACATTTACAATATTAAATTCTAATTTTATTACACTGTTTTTCAAAGCACTGTAGTTATGGTAAAATGAAAATTAAAAAACACAAACGAACTTTTTGTAAGTGGACAATTCAGTTCACAAATTTTTTGTGAATTTGAGTAAATAAATTAAACAATTCATCACTTCAACTTAAAGTATGCAATATAATTTTTAAAACATCGTGTTAAATATTGTTGATTAAATTACACAAATTCGAAATAATTTCACAACGCTTCACAAAATAATACAGTAATAACGGCTTTGCAAAATGACACAAGCTACGCAAAAGCTCGTCTTACGCAAACGTCAAATTTAGTTTGCTATACAGTGTTGCATTTTTGGAGAAATAAAATATTTAAATTTATATTTCGGATATGTTCAGTTATAAAATAAATAATAATTTTTAATTCATGATTTTTACATAAATAATAAAAATATTAAATTCGTGTAATGAAAATATTAAAATCGTATAAGATACTCAAGGCAAAACAAAAAAGAAGAATTTCTATAAGTTTTATGTAGAAAACACAAATATTCTATCAATATTAAAATTTAATTAATAAAGATTCTTATAATAATTTTAAACGTGACGTAATTTAAATATTATTAAAATATGATGTCTATACTTGAAACAATATATGAATCATAAAAACGAGTAAATATTTTATATTGAAGTAAATCAAAACACTTAATGATTTAAAATTTTTCAAATAAGCAAAATTATCCGTAGATGTTGTTTTAAAAAACTTTAAAGAATACAGCAGATATATTTTGTCAACTATTTACTGAACATATTCTTTTATTTTATTTTAATTAAAATTTGACTTTTAATGCATAATGCAACAATCGATGTCTATTGACCAAATTTAAATGAAGAGCAGTGAGAATCGGTAGCTAATGTTGGAGCCAATTGCAGATTAGTTGTGCGTTGGGCCAGATTTTTATAACAAATAAAAGTTGTTTGATAAGAGTTATACCACGTTTTAAAATTTTTTTATTCCTAATTAATTGTCAATCATATTTTCATAATCAAAAATGTTTTCGTCTTAACGTAATACTAATTACCAACAAATATTTTAACGATTACAATTTTTCCATCAATTTTTTTATACACATTATATAAGCTAAACATAAACGAATAAACGAATAAACTAAACATTTTAACATTTTTTTTAAAAATTTGTTTATTTTTTGAAAATTAATATAACAATTATTTAAGTTAAAATTATTCTTACAGTTTATGGTTACTGATTTAATAAATAATTAATTATTTATTGTTTCATCAGACCTTTAAAGTTTCCAAAAAAAAAATTTAGAAGTTACTCGAATTTTACTATTTTTCGATTACAGCACAAAACAATAATAAAATAAGAAAGATTATTATGTGAATTGCATTTCATACTGTACAAAACTTGCTCAAACTTTACTTCCAAAACCTGTGAAAGTAAAGTGAAGCAGTTTAATAATTGTTTTTAATACTATAGAGAGCGGTAGAAATGTAATCTAAGAATTTATTTGCGTTTATAATTTATTTAATTTAGAGCAAGTGAATAAAGATTTAAAATTATTTTAATATACCATTAATAACTATTTTAAAATACCTAAAATATCTGATATAATTTATTGATATTCAGATGTCTGAGTTGGTGAATCAGCACCTTTACTCTATTTTATCTGTGGACAGTTTTAAGTCACACTAAGAATAACTGAATACGGGGCTTTATAATATGATGGATCTGATGTCTTTGTATCTGCCTGTGTTTATCAAATTTCGCTGTATTTTTAGGATTCTGAGAGTTGGATTATTGTGACTGTCAATTATATTGAACAGTTTCAGAGCACGATCTTTAATGTATTTTTCCACTGAATCGACTCTCAGATCTCTGTGGATATCCGCTCCTCTTACGTACCATGGGGCGTTAACCAGTTTTCTTAAGGCAATATTTTGCCCTCTTTGAAGAATTCTTAAAGTTGATTTTGGCGCTTGCCCATAAAGTAGTCCAGGTTTAATAATCTGCTTAAATATGCTAACTCTATTCTTTACGTTTAGCTTTTTGCTGCTGATGAGCGGGTGAAGGGAGTGTAATATTCGGGCAGCTTGAGCTCGTTTGGACTTGAAATGTGCTTTCCAGGATTGCTTGTTATCAAAGGTTATGCCTAGGTATTTGAGAGTATCGGCCCATTCTATTTCTTGTTCTTATATTGCCCGAGTCTTTTCTGCGTTCAATTTTATTTTCCATTTTTTAAAATACTGAACAAGCACGTCAATGTGACCCTGTATAGTGTTGGAGACATTGCAGGCTATTTTGTCTGAGCACACAATACAAGTGTCGTCAGCATAGAGCGATAGCATAGAAGGCTCGAGTTTCGGTATGTCTGCAGTGAACAGGCTATAGAGCAGTGGAGATAACGGCGATTATTTGATTATTTGAATAATATTTATTATAATAAGGCAATTATATGTGTACCATAGTTTGTTTAATTCTTCCCACGACCAGGAGACTCTTTGCAATTGTAAGGCAGGAATTAGAACTATGGGAAATAGTGGTACCCTTATTTTACAGATTATTCACAGATTTTGCACAAAATTTAAACAAATTTTACTTTATAAATATCTTCAAGTAAATAAACTTTAAATAATTATATTTCTTGTCGTACGGACAAGAAATATAATTTTATTCACATTTTTTACTTTCCTCGAAAAATACGAAAAGTGAATAAAATAAATATAAATAATAAATATAATAAAATAATATAAATAAAATAATATTCAAAAATAATAAATAGTTACTATTTTCGATTATGTATATTAATTTTGGATTGGTTTCTACATTTCGATGTTTTCGATATTTTTCCCCAACTGCTTCAATATCATCCTAAAACTATGCTTTAATTTCTATACAAATGCAAGTCACATTTAATTATTTTATTTTTAATTTTTATTACAAATTTTAAAATTTCAAGAGTTTTTCGTTCAATCGACAATTTCTTTTGATTTATTGCACAATTAATACTTTATTTTATTCTTTTTTCGTTTCGAATTCATGCGGCACAATTTCACTGTTTTGTTTTGCTGCTACTGAAATTTCCTCTGGTATATTGCCACCTTCAGGCACAAAACCGTGATTATCAGCTTTGTAGTGGACAACTACTTCCTTGCCATCGGAATCGAAGAACGAATAGGAGCCTGTTATTTCCAAATAAGCATCCTCAGTACCAGGATTGATCACAACGGCGTTTTCCTCGCGAAAACTGCCATCTTCACCACGGAAATGGAAGCTATAGGAACCGTCAGGCTTATGTGCCGAACTCTGCTCAACAATATCCACAAGGGGTTTATGTTGCACAGGCACCACCTCGTGATCGTGTTCATCTACTGGTGCGCTCAGCACAAAAGTCAATAAAGCTAGGAAGCAACACTAAAACGTAAAAATTATTTGGACAAAAAAAAAAAAATTAAATTAAGAATTTAATTAGAAATTAGTGCGATTTTTGTTGTTGCGATTCACGGCTTAAATTGCAAAAAATACTCACGATTTTGAACATTTTTATAGATTTAGCTTGGAAGCGCTTGTTTCTTTCGAGAGTTGTGAATTACAAATAATTTTGTTACGTTTAATTCGGCAATTTTTATACAAAATTTCTTAAATGCTTGAGCTTGAATTTTTGTTTTAATTTAATTTTTTTTTTTTGTGTTTCATATATTTATTTTAATTAAACTGCAATTTTATGGTTTTTTATTGTATAACAAAATTCTAAACTCATTTAAATTTTTACCGGTTTTTGGAGTACTTAATTGTAAGTATTGTTTATGATGCTTTCAAGCCGCACATTACCGCCATTACCGCACATCACACTGCAAGATACATCTGTCGAAAAAAAAACTGAACAGCAGAAATTAATTTGCAAATATTTAGCAAGAATATGAATTGTTGTAAATTATAAAAATCAAAATTATAACATAAATTACATTATGATATTTCCAACTGATATTTCCGAAAATAACAGAAATAATTTCAATCTGTCAACAGATTCTCTTACATTTGGCGCAGCAGATTTTGATTTCTTTGTCGCGGCTATGACGCATCTTGCACCGCATCCACGTAGTGACAAGTGCTTCAAAGCCCCGAAAGAAATAATAAACAAAAGAACTTGTTTTCTTAGTCTTAAATTTAATTAGAATTTTGTTTTCATACACAAAAATTAACTATGCGACTATGAAATTCACACTTTGAAGTTCCATTTGCCATAGAAGAAATTCTTAGGTGTTTTTAATTGAAAGAGATGAAAAAAAAATATTTGCAAATCTAAAGCATCAAACTAATTAAGACTTAATTTTAAAACCATTAAATATAAATTTTTTATAAAATTTTTTATTAAGAAATTCAAAAACAAAAAAAAACAAAATCGTTTTGTAGAATTCTTAAAAATACTTCGACTTGGCATTTGTTTACCTTTGGACGAACTCAACAAAGGCAAAATATTGTCGAAAATCTTTTCACAGTTCGATTTCTGTAAATAATTCCGTGGAAGTAGGAAAAGTGTTTGAGTGGGTAAAAAATTTGAAATACACTTACATTTTTTTATTTTTCTTTACACATATAATTGAAACAACAATCGAGATACAAAAATAAACTAATCTTTATGCATTTCCAACCAGAATTACTCGCTTCTAATATTTTAATTAATAGAAGCGATCGTTCATTTGTGAATTTGTTTACAATAAATTCTTAAATTATGTACAAACGTACGGCTTTCGGTACTATTTATAGATGCAAATTTTCTCCAGATTCCCTCACAACAGCGAAATCCAAAGAAAACTCAACCGAGATACGTTCTACGTGCCAAAGTACAGGGGCAATGTGTTTTATTTAATTCAAACACACATAAACCAAACGGAATAAATAAAAATTTTATATATTTGATTTTATAATGTAGTCACATACAAAAGACTTATATAACCAATATCGGAAACCATGTACGAGTAATGCACACAGTTCTTCTTCTTGTACAAAAAGTTTATCTACATATATACTTGCCTAGAATATATAATGACATGAAATGATATTAGTAATTCATATAAAATTAGATAGATCAAAATTGGTTCAGAATATTGGCATTGGTTTCTAAAATATCATATAGTATTTATTATTATTATTTTTATTATTATAGTATTTATTAATATTCCTATTGATCTGCAGGCTCAAGAGCGAAAGGCAAGTTGGTACGTAAAATGCATGGGGAACAAACAGATAATCGTGGACGATGGACCGCAAGGCTTATATCCGAGAAAAAACTGGCTGGCAAGGGACTTTGGCGAGGTTGACTACTGTCTCATTCAGGTTCTGCCTGGACATGGATATTACAATAGCTACCTCTACAGAACACACATTTTTTGAGTGCAATAAGTGATTACCCGAACGAGAAGCATTAGCAGCACAAGTTGGTGTTTTCTCTCCAACGACGGTGACAAGAAAAATGACCGAAAACAAAACAAACTGGGATCGCGTAAAAATGTTTGCTGAAAAGATTTTAAAATTGAAAAAAGTAGCCCTTGACAGAGGACAACTGGATCACACTAAGACGAAGGGCAAGGTTAATCACTTGCAGCAGTAGCGGGGCCTGATAGGGTCCATCTGGAAGTAATACTAACATAGTCCCGGGGTAGGACAAGGTCTTTAGGAATGAGGGGGAGTGGTTTAGTCCATGCGAGTCGGGCACTCACTTCGCAGGGCACTGGATTATGGTCAGTGCGGAGGCATTCCATTCCTTCTTGCCGTAAAAACAATAATTGAAAAAAATTATTATTATTATATTTAGTATTAATTACTACATATTCTTTTTTTAATGCTCTGTGATAAACAATATTAGCAAAAATAAAATAAACAAAAATAACATAAAAAAGAATTAAATAAAAAAACAAAATAAACAAAAATAAAAGAAAAGAAAATAAAAAAAATAACAAGACAATCTTTACACAGACACTATCGTCGATCGGTACTGAGATACACATAGTTTTAATTTAATTAAAAAATTAAATTTGCTGATCACCTCCTGCCTCTACAGCAAAACTTTTTTGATACTTTCTAGATCCTTCCATACAAATCCAAGTCATTTAAAATATATAAATATATATCATATATAAATATTATATAAATATTTACACCTAATGACGGTAAAATGACTCCAATGATTAAAATGATAGAGTTTTGTCGCTAACGAACATATATTGGAAATTGAAATCTGACATTTCAAACTACTATGGCAGTTGTGTTATTCATTGCTCATGTGAATAACTATATTGATTAGAAAAGGAAGGAAAAGCAGAAGACATATCCTATGTGATGCTTTATTACTATAAAAAAATTTAAACTCCTGAAAAAACATGCCGAAAAATTTGTGTGGCTTATGGTGAGGATGCTGTTAGGGAAAGCTGAACCCAAGAATTTCTGTCCCGGAAACTTCGATTCCAAAGATGCACAATGATATAGTCTGCTACTCTCTAGAAAATCAGAAAAAATCTTGCAGCTGTTGGGGTAAAGCCGACACACAAGCTCTCGGGAAGTAGTATTTAACTCCAAGTACAGAATAGCTTGAAACGATTTAAAAAGAACAGGCCACATTAAGGCGCTTGGTGTTTGGGCACCACATGAATTAACGTAAAGAAATTAAGTTGTCCGAATTACCATCATTAAAACGTTGCTTAAACGCAATGAATCATTATATCTGAAAACTAAAATATATGAGAGAATATCAAGCGCTAGCGATCATAGTCAAAAGCCGGTAGCTTTCTACAAACAGCTTCAAAGGTTAGATTATTGGCAAATAAGGTTATGTTGAGAGTTTGATGAGATTGGAAGGGAAATCCATTAAATCAATTATTCATTAAAGTAAAAGGGACATATTAAAATGTTGAATACTTTAAAAGATGAAAGGGAAACATATCAAATAACAGTTGATTAATTATTTCTGAGAATATTTCCGAAGCATTGTAATCTGTGGATTCAAAGGATCGGTCAGCACCCGCAGAAACTTTGTATTGATTACGAAATTTCTCCGAAGTTTCAAGACATTGCATTGTTCTTTACCAAGTAAAATATAAGAGAGGAAATGCGGGAAATGCTGCTCACTGAACTCAGTCAGCGAATTAATAGGAATTTTAAAATTAGATTGGTTAACATAAGTGTACAAATATTTATGCCAATATTACCCGTTTTTAGCATGAGAGTTATATTGGCTTGAAATCAAGCAATTTAAAAATTCACTTAATGAAATGAAACATAAAAAGGCATCTTTGTTAAAGTATCTAAGTCTTTCTGTCAAATCGAAATTCATATAACATATGTTAATGTTTCTTTTACACTCTGTCCTTTATGAAATCAAAATTCATTGTCACTCATTTGCTCTTCTAACTTTTGATAAGTTCGTGTCTCTATAGGTAAAGTTAGTTAAGAGTGACAGCTTTGCAAACCAAAAGCCCACTTGAGCTGCAATAAATACTCGTTACGATATTACGTTACGCTTAGTGTTATTCAAACGCATACCTTAAGGCCCTTCGAAAGAACTGCAATGGTTACAATACAGACAACGCTAAAACGCACAACTCTCCATTTAGATGAAAGTTGATCATCCTGATAAGTATACAAATTTGAATAAGTACCAAATTTCGCAAGATGACAGATCTATCAGGTCAGCAAGAAAAGGTGCTCCCAAGTTTTTAATTTAATATTGTCCAAACATGGGCATTAATAAAGAAGGTAGAAAACCTTTTTCCTTTTCTATTCAAAGGCAGATCCACCACAAAAGTCATTATAGAATAGACCCAGGCTCATAGCATATCTTCCATATAAGCAGTGAGCTGTCAGCACCGAAACCATTGTGCTAAACGGGTTACGCTTTAGGTACAGAAAGTTTCTAGTACGTTTTTAAGAAAATGATTACAAATTATGATCTTTATGGAGCATAATAATTAAATGAACGCCTTGTATTTAGAGTTCGTTACATATTATAATAAATGAACATTTTTTCTCTGTTAACTTGAGATTCTTTATAACAGGATTATTAAAAAATAAGGATTTTATTCTTTCTCAATAAAAAATAAAATCTTTATTTTTCTATATCATTTTCATTGCCTGCAAAGTACATTCTTCCCCGTACAATGCACAAATATTTTTACGTTTTTCCAATCCTTAAAGCAATTGTTAAAGACGATTTTTGGAATCCCCTTCAAAGCGATTCGGTTTTTATTTTCTCAATCATACCACAAAAGTATTCCTGCGTTACGTCCTACGTTACGGGAATAGCCAGAACGATACTAGTTGAATTTTTAACGAAACGATCTCGAAGAACAAATGCGGTGTGAATATGCTATGCCCAAAATTCTAGACTCTTTTTGTTTATAGCTTTAGTTTATAGCTTTAGGTAAACAATGCATTACGTCCAAATAATACAAGTATTTCTTTTAAAAGTTTGGTCCGGTGGAAGAAATTAATAACGCACAAAATCAAGATTATGGACGTCTTTTACACATTATTCCTTTGATTGGTTAGTTGTTTCTGAATCGTAAGTGCAGATCCAAATCTACTCATCAGTTATCATGCACTCTATCTTATATATTTACTTTCT